CAATACTACTGCAGCATTCCTGGGAGATGATTGCTTTTAGGAATAAAGAAGGTCTCTAGAGTTGATAGTGATCTGAGAATATTCTCACTTACTTACAGGGTAGCTTCTGCAGTAAGATAGCTTGGTTCATTGATTGTTATTCATTTAATGTTCAAAGACAGAACCTGCCCTTGTTCAGTCTGGAGAGGATAGGAATACCTTCCAAACCTTTGTGGTGAGCCTCTTGCGCTATATCTTCACTGCAGTGGTGTCCTGTACCTCGAACTCAACATGCACCAAACTAAACCTATTATTCCCTGTCCCTCATCTTCCTGTACTCTACCTTTACTGGTGACACCATCACCACTCGGTCACCCAAGCCAGAAATGGGACTATCAGCTTACAGTACACCTTTTCTGTCAACTCTCACAGGCAATCAATCATCAGGACTCAGAAAGACCCTCGTAATGAGTTCTCCATTCAAGTTCCCTTTCCATCCCTTCTGTTGATGCATCAATGCACATCTTTAACTACTTGCTATAATAAAACAAGAATGAACATTCCCTGAGAGCAGAAACCAGCACCCAGAACAGTGTGGTGGATTAGAGTATGAACACTGAGCCAAGAAGGTGGATTTGAATCCCAGTCAATGTGCATCAACTCTGGGATAAGTGTCTCAACTTCAGTTTTCATATCTGTAAATGGAGAATAAAAACACCTCCAACTCTGGCTTGTGAATATTAAATAAAGCTAATATACTAACAATGGTGCTTGGCACACAGTGTAAAATTGCAATATATATTATATGTGTAATGATAGTTGAGGAAACTGAGGCTTGGAGCAGTGAAATGCCTTCTTTAGGATCACACAGCTACTAAATAATGCAGCTGGTATATGCCAGGTCTAAAGTAACATGTTTTCCCCCCAGTGACACATCTTGGCCTCCCAATGTGGTCGTTAATAAGAAAGTAGAACCTCTAAAGTGCCAATACAGAAAGACATCATATATTGTGTAGAACAGTATGCATAATATGATCTCCTTTAAAAAAATGTTTAGAGTTAATTACTACCTCTGAACTTTGTATATTCCTTCGTCATCTCATTTCCATCCATCTCTCCTTCTAAACTACCTGAGGGCGGAGAGTCCCCACCGCATAGTACAGGGCAGACACACAAAATTCAATAGTTGTTAACTTGCTGAATAGCATTGAATCTCTTAAAAAAATAATTAACTTGCTTAGTTAGCAGATAATAGCTAATAGCAGATAAAATATGAATCTGGTTAATGCATTCAACCATACAAAAACTTATTTAAAGTAATATTCCTTCCATGCCATTCCCCAGACACCCAGCTCTAATCTCAAGAGGCAGCCACGGTGGCCAGTTTCTTCACAGATACTTCACATTCTTCAGAGATATTATGGAATTGCACTGAATTTTAGAGCAATTTAAATTTATTGCCAAAGATTACTAGGGAGTGGTGGGAAATGCTTTATGCACATTTAGTCAGTATGTTTTCTTTCCTGCTAAGTCACCAATTTCTTTCAAACCCATATAAGATAATCCAAACATAAACTCTGTGTGTGTGTGTGTGTGTGTGTGTGTGTGTGTGTGTGTGTGTGCAGAGGAAGGTGCTAGTTGCTGTTTGTGAACTCTCTCAGGTAAAACCACCATCCAATTCTATGCAGTTCTATTTACAGATTCCTTTCCCTTGCAGCTGATCTTATGATCCATTTCTCCATAACTCTTTGGCCTGATATTTTATTCACTGTGCTC